ATCTTTCTTTCTTCTTTCCTTCCTCCCAGATCTTTAGGTTGGATGCAATACAGAAACGATGGGCAAGGACAGAGCAGTCATCTTGGTCCATGACATGAACTTAGAAATAGTGACCATCATCATACAAACCAATAGATGTACTTTGCACCCTTGACAAGGCAGGAAGTTTTACTCACATTGTGCTTTTTATTTGAGTTTCATAAAACTTTTTTTAAACTCATATTGTCCTTGAAAGAGGAATTAACTTGTCTTATGTAAGCTACTTTTATTTTGAAATTTTTCTCACTTGTAGCCAATCATAATATTAACCATAAGGCTTATAAGTGTGCAGTGACTGAACTGTGTCCCGCATAAATAGGGGTTTTGAAGGTAGTAAGTTAAGGATCTTCAGATGAGATGGCTCTGAACGCAGACTGGGGCCTAAGCCAAATAATATGGCCTTTTGCACGGATGGTGAGAGATTTGTGATACAGAGAGACACACGGAAGAGGCCTTCAGCAGACAAAGGCAGAAACTGGGGCAATGTGGTCACAAGCCCGGGACTATCAGGAGCTCCCTGAAGTCAGGGAGAATTCTGCCTTGAAGACTGGATGACTTTGGAGTTTTGGCTTCCAGGATCCCAAGAGAATCGATTTCTGTTGCTTTCTGCCCCTCAGTTTGCAATGCAGTACTTGTTAAATCAGCCCTAGGAAATTAAAACAAAGGATAAAGCCTTCTTTTGACAAATAAGAAATTCATTTAAATTGTGACATAAGCATTTATCAGCACCAGGCAGGTGCTTAGGCCACTGAGCTAAATCCCCGGCCCATAACATTAAGAATTTAAACACAGAACTGATACTTTTTTTGTGGGGGAGCACTATGTATATGCTAGGCTTAGAAGAATTAATTTAAAATCATTAATTTGTCACCTAGAAAAGTCATTTTCTCGTAGAGTGTATTTATTTTGTGATTCTTCATAAGCCCAAACCTATAGCACATGGGAAATCCATAGTACTCATACGTAGGTGTAAACTTCCCCCTTTGAAGAGTTTTCCACTGGTTAATATTCACCAATTAAAATCAAATGAACAACTCTTGCTCAAGACAATGCTACTTTTTTTTTTAACAAATGGATAAAGCACCTCATTTTCTTCAGAAGGGAACTCAGTTTGTACAGAAACAAAAGTCAGCAATTAAATTTGGCTACAGAAGAGATTGATAGTCAACACAATCTATCAGTTTTGCAGAATGGTAAATGCCCTATTTTAATTAGCTAGTAAAATAAGCAGCATAACTGAGTACTACTAAGCTGCTTTACATCAGTGGCCTAAATGGACATCAGTATGAAGGGGCCTCCGTCAGGTGACTGTGCAGTGTGTGTTTGTGTTGTGTATGATTTACAAATATATGATTTGTTTCCATAAACGTTTTTATTAAATGTTTCCACCAATTAGAGATTCACCAGTTTGCAAGACTTGGACTCTTTTTTAAAATTTTTTTATTTTATTTCATTTTTTTTTAAGACTTGGACTCTTAAAATGAATTCTGGAGCCCGAACAAGGACCCCCATTCCCACGTAGCTGAGGTAAACTGGTTTCCATCCTTCTTTCTTCTTCTCCCCACTTCTAAACACCTGCCCGGCTTCCTATTATATGCAGCATATAATGTAGTTATAATATAGTTAGTAATGTGGCCCCACCTGAAGTAAAATGCTGATGTGTATATTACACCATACTTGCAAAGTGACATAATCAACGAAGAAAGATGTGAGGGTGGTGTGGGGAAGCGAACGCTTTCCTTGTTATCCTTTTAGAGGATGAGTAAAGGTGAGTTATGAGAGAGTCAGTCATTAGAGACGAATTTTATGGTGAATTTTTCAAGAGTGCAAGTTTGATAGCCAGAACCCACTCTTAATGGGGTCATAATAACAGAACCCAGTGAAATTAGGAAGAAGCAAATAGAAATATTTGTGGCCGAGAACAGATTGGTAAACTTTCTGGATTGAATGTCCCCGTTGCTAAAGTGAATCCAATGTTTCTCGCCTGCAGGGATTTACACAGAGGTGCTTGGCCAGCAATAATATGACTGAAGACACTGGATTCAGGACAAGGTTGACTTCTTCTAGGTTAAATCAAGGCAACAAGATTGCTATGGGCTTGATTGATGAAAACTAGTACTTGCATAAGCCTGGGGTACATGAAAGGAAATAAAGAAATTTCTGCTCCAGATGGATCTTTGACCCATATATTTGGTCCTACAGTTTCTTTAAAACCTGTGCCACACCGAACTTGCCAACTGTTACTGCAAAAATAGGCGGGGTGCAAGATCTTGTATACCAAAAGATAAAGATAATACTCATTTGCTGACATTTATGGAAAATATCATCCTTAGAGTGCTTAAATTAAATGTTAAAGTTAATCCTCTTCACATAGCAAGCCTCATCAGAATTTGGATGGGAGAACCCAAGGGTAAAACAAAGTCATGGAATGAAATTAATACCATTTTCCAGAATCTTCTTTAAAAAAAAAAAAACAGTAACCTGAAAAAAGAGAAATGGAATCTTGCACAGCTTAGACTTTTGGGGCTTATTTTTTCCCCAGTTTCTATTTTTTATAATGCGTGTTTGCAGGGTACCATGTTTACCTTCCTGTGGGGGAGCTGCTGTGGTGCATCATGCACCTCCATTCTCCTTTCCTTCTCCTGTCCCTCCCCTTCCTGCTTTCCCTCCTTCTCTTGATCCCCTTCTCATGCTGAACAAAATCTATCACCCTACTTCCTTATCTTTTATTTTGTTCTTTATATTTTACACAAAAATTCTTTATTATTAGCAACTACATAGGAGACATGCAAAGTATACTTTTCCATGCTGAAAACTATAGATATTCATATTTCTTGATTTTTTTCAGTGACCTTAAAATGTCTTTTTCTTTTGTTTGTGTTCAGACTCACTCGTCTGCCTTTAGTACTTTAAGCTCCTGTAGGGCACGGATTCCAGGACTTTTAGACGGCATCATATAAAGAGCTGCTACTCATGAGCCCCTTGCGTCCCCTGCTACTCTGGGTGCCGGGAAAGCCGTGCCAGCTTCTGGGACCTGGGCCGGGAGTGTGGGAGGGGCCAGCTGGGCTGCAGGGCCCTGGTAAAGACTCCTGCCAAAGATGTTGCCAAGAACAAATCAAGGCTGGAGAGACTTGGGTGTGAATCCCACAAGGGTGAAATTGACCGAGCAGGAGGGGAGTGCCATGCGTATTTCTCAAGTCTCTGTGAGGCTTTCAAACAGCTTTTTAGAGCCCTGGTGACGATGGGTGACCCACTTCAGACAGCGCCTCTGCCTCCATCAAGCAGGTGTTCACACCCTGTGCTTTGCTGTACAGGTCCAGGCCCATCCCCACTCCTCTCCAGGTTGTCCAAAAAGAGGGCAGGTTGCGGAACCCCACATGCCAAGCAGGAGGAGAACCCCAAGTTATGGTCATGCAACCCTGCTCATCAGCAGCCCATCAAGAGCCGTGCACTGCAGGAACCAGCCCTTTGCTATGACAGAAACAAGTGTATTGAGATTATGGTCAGGCAACTGTGCAAGTTTTCACAGTTGGACTCCAAGGCACATGACTGTCATGTATTTTTTGGAGTCACTTTGAATATTTTCCCGGGGGGAGAACAAGTCTGTGCTTGTGTTGCCATCTGGCTAGGAGCTGTGCGTAACGACAGAAACACGGGAGACACAATGTTAGTGTCACTGACCGTGACTGTGACCACAGTGGCCACTGCCAGAGCTGCCGCCGCCAGTGCTGCTGGTAGGAACAGGGCCTTGTTGGAGGAAATCTATGTTTTGACATGCCTCGTGTGTCAGGGCATTTCACTGTGAGATGCAAAATAAAACTACACTGGTGTGAAACTAAAATATTAAATATTTCAGCAGTTTATTATGATCCCCAATTTGTTTCACTCTTTTTTGTATCTAGATGGATGCGGAGTGATGTTAAAACACTGAGCAGTAGGCATTGATCATCAGCGGCAATCCCAGTGCCACTAGGACCAGGCACGGGTCCCCTGCCAGACAGGGCTAGAGAGGGCAGGAGTGCCCAGGAAATTGGGGGGCTGAGCAATAAGGTGACATCGGGAGCTCAGAGCCTCCACTGGTTACCAATCCATAAGGAAGCCTTTGAATTCTGCACGGAGAGGCTGGCATCCGAGGAGACCTTTAGTTCTCGCTTCTCCTCAGCCCACATCATTTGAGGGACAGCTCTCAGCTCTTCCAGAATTTCCTGGACCAGTTTTTTGATGCTCCTATTTCCACCAGATGGGCTCTTTTTGTTGGTTTCTAAATGATGAGTTCTCTCCATATGCCTTCCCCCCCCCAGAGTGTTTATATTATAATGTTCACTTAAAATGAGACACCCTCTATGTCTAACTTTACAGCTTTGGATCAGCTATGTTAAGTCCTTGAATTATATGGAGACTTGGAAATCTAACATCCAAAATGTTCTGAGACTGCCACATGGTTATTTGGAACCAAATATTTTTTTTTTTTTTTTTTTTTAATTTAAGAGGAAAAAGAGAAAAACACAAAACAAACCAAAGCGGCGTAAGGGTACACGCAATACAGAACTACAAAACAAAACAAAACAAAAAACCATAACAGTAAGAAATTACCTGCTAGTAGATTACACACTATTTTCTTGAAAATAGTTCCTCAAATCACAGTATCAAAGAACACAAGGTGGACATTCAAACAGGGAGACTGCAAACAGCTGTGTTCAATGTTCCAAAAACATTGATAAAGTCAGCTATTTAACACCCCCAAACACACTTGCTGTTATATCCGTTAGAGCTCCTTTTCTTTTTTTTTTTTCCCTCTCTTTTTTACAACAAAATTTACACATCTTGGATTTTATTACTCCTTAGTGCTTATTACTTTCTTGGGGGGGGGGGAAGAATACAGTCAAATATGGCAAAACAAAGCTGTCAGTCAATACCAAGGATAGACGTAGCACATGGTGTAGAACAGAGTACAAGTTTATCAACAATGAGGAACCAAATATTTTTTAAAAGGCACTTTGCAGTCTTCGAGCAAAGTCTAGCTCTGCACAGCACTGTCTGTCTGAGGAGCTGATGGAGCACTGACCAGCAGCCTGGGTTTTGTTGAAATGTATTTGCCAATGTAAACAACTCATGCCTGCCCCTGGCACCCACCACTGTCACTAAGGTGGGCACAGTGCTTGGAGGGCTCTGCTGTCACAGACACGAATACATGCAAATCTGCAGCTCGTATTTCTACGCTCACACGTGGCTCCTGCGGTCAGGGAAGAAGGGAACTCCTTAACATGAGGCCAGCTGGAAACTTCAGCATTTGATCTATAGAGAAACAGAAGTGGGGAAAAAATCAATGAAATGTGGGGAGGTGGGCAAATTGAGGGGAAAAATTGAATCAAATGGGAGAAAGTTCCCCTTGTGTATTTTAGTTTGGGATTGTCCACCAAGGTATTATTTTTTCAGATGCAAAGTATGCTTTTCAAATAGCCTGTCTTTCCTGACGTTAGAGAGCAGTGTGACTCGGGGCACCGGGGCATTTAGGTAGAGGACACTTTTGGATTGACAGGACATTCTAAGGCAGTCATCTATGGCTTCCAAAAACACAATTTGCCAAGCTTCATCCCCAGAGATTTCAGTTCTGTCGATGTGGGACGGGGCCTGGTGATGTGCTTTTTTTTTTTTTTTTTTTTTTTTGTCTTTTTGAGGCAGGGTCTCTCTATATAGTTCAGGCTGGCCTTGAGCTCACTTTGTCGCCTAGGCTAGTCTCGAACTTGCAACGATCCTCCTGCCTCAGCCTCCTGAGTGCTGGGATTACAGGCGTGAGCCATCACGCCCGGCTAATGTGCATTTTTAATAAATCCCCAGGCCCACACTCTGAGAACCTCTGTGAGGCAGAATTTATCGATGCCCATGCTCACCAGAAGTCACCTAGAAAACAAATAGCCAACCCATGCTGAGGCTTCAGCCCACAGATTCTTATTTAATCTGAATCCTGGGGAATTAGTAATGTTTTAAAACTCTCCTGGTGATTCTAATAATGCTCAGCTGCTAGCCAGAAGAACCACCACCTAAAGATTAATCACCAGGATGAGATTCGTTTGATATTTAGCTGAATATTAAATGACTTAGAATCTAGGAATAATGTTTGCACGCAGCACAGAGCCAGCTAAACATTTTTATTTCCTTAGCAACTGTAGTATTTGCTGGGAGCCAAATCTATTTTTAAAATGGGTGTTAGCACATCAGTCTCACAGTAAGTACTTTACGAATGACAGTTTTCCTCTTTGCCATGTGTGGAGTGCTGGTTCAGGAATCAGCTTCTCCTTCACAGTTCTGCGGGGCCACCCGCAGCGCCTGCCTCCAGGCCTTCTTCCTCTTGTCCGAGCACTTGATCAAAGGTCAGTTGGCAGACTGCTGGAGCTGCCCTTCAGACACGGGTGATTTAGGCGGCAAGGGCTCCCAGGATGGCCACAGAGGGGCCGAGGGCACCCCCTGGAGGTGGAGTGGCTTATTTTACGGAAGCCTGGCGTTGGGAGTCAACTTGAACCCAGATTCTTAGTATTTTCTCACCTGAAGCCTCTGTGATCTTGGAAAAATCGCTTCTTCATCTCCAACTTACTTTTTTAACTCTGTAAAAATGGAGATAACATCTGTCTGCTGTGAGTGATCACAAGGATTAGGTGAGAGAGCAGAGAAGGGACTTTGACAGTCTCGGTCTCCACCGCTGACAAAGTGCCTGGTGTTGTGCCTGAGCGTGGAAACCGCAGGCTACCGGGAAAGAGCAAAAGCAAGCTTGTGGACTGCAAAACCTCCAGTGAGGAGTCACCAGGATGAACACGCGCCCTCTGCTTCCCACGCACTTGGCCTGTTTCTCCCTTGAACCTTGCCCAGCAGCAAGGGCACAGGGTGTTTATAACCAGGTAACGAAGGCAGAGCTGGTGTAATGCCTTCCTTCTTTGCAACAGAAAATATCAGATTATTATCACACCTCCTCTCTAAAACGTTCTGTCAGCAAGGAAAGCAAAACACTGCCTTGCCGACGATATTACCTTTCACGACTCCGTCCTCAGAAATTCAGACAGAGGTCATCGGCGCAAAGAATTGTTAGCCCAAGTTAGGAGTTGAAGTCCCGGGTTCTATTTATTCCTGACCGTACTGTGGTACCTCATGCTTTATAAATAACCTTTATTGACTTAACTTTGGCAAGCCTCAGGTTACTGATGATAATTATGCCAAAACGGCCTCTTTGTCTCATCTAATAATACTTTCTGCGTTTTGTTCTTAGTGTGGACAGATACAGTAGGATCATCTCAACTGAATGAAGGGTGGGGGTGGGGATGTTTCATTTGTCAAGTTACAGGACTGTAACAGCGGGCAGCAGCCAGGTTTGGCCGCGGTCCTCGCGCTTGGCAAAGGCTGAATAGTTTGGTTGAACAAGTTCCTTGGTTAATGAATGCTTGCATAATGGTAGCACAGTCAAGAGGGTGGAAATATGCGTATATATAAACTATGGGGGAAACCTTACTTTATAATCCTACTATATACTCAATTCTATTCTGTGCCTGTTATGTGTTTTTGTCTCTTTGCAAGAAGGCTACATGTTGATCTAAACTGTTTTCACTGAATCATCAACACTAAATGAGAAACAATTACATAATTATTACTGTTTTTACATGGATCACTGATTTTTGAATAGGATATTTCTATGATGATACATGTATTGCTCTGACATAGTATTTTGATATAACCAAAGACTTCTGAAAACAAACTTTGAAAGGGAATTCGAGACACATGGATTAATTAGAAAATTCTTCCTCCTGAAAAGCAGAAAATGTCAGAGAAATCTCCTTTTTTTTCCTGCCTTCACTCTCCGGCCTGGGGCTGCCAGGCGCAGCGGCGGCTTGCAGTTGTAAAACTAGTCCTCAAATACAAACCGGAGTGCTGGGCTCCGTCACTGCTGCTGGCCAGAAAACTAGAGTCAGTCTTATCTCTAAGTTTGTGAAATTCAGAAAAAACAGCTCTGTGGTGGCAGGGCCAGAATTTTATAGCCTGGGTAAGGAATGCCATTGAAGTTGTCAGACTCATAAACTTAAAATGTTTAGATCTTTGCTGGGGGCTGGCGGTGTACAGTGATGGTGCAGGCGCAGGACTCCGAAGCTCAGGACACTGTTTCATCCCTGAGACCCGTATTCATGTTACAGCTTATGGCCCCCTGTCCTCCTACCTCAGTTCTGCACCCACGGAATGGAACCACTGACGCCTGAATTCTCACCCGAGGGGCTACTTTCTCTTGAAACGCCTCTTTTGAACCACAGGTTTTTTTGTTGTTGTTGTCAGGTCCCTAATCTTTTGAAAACTCACTCTGTTCCCTCTGCTTCCCACCCTCATCCCTGCTGTCACTCCACGCTCCTTCCCACACTGTTTAATGTTTGCTTGCTTCCCTTTGTGCTCCATCCCCACCTCCTTTCCCCAAAGACGATAATCTCTGACCTAAAACCAATCTCTGCTGCGATCTTTTCATTGCTGGGCCCTGTGTCTAGGTGCTGGATTCTCTGTTTATCATCAGAATCAAAGAACAGAGGGAAAGATGTTTTTCTTGGTGCTGAGGGAGAAATCCATAGATACAGTGTTGCAAGAATGATTGTTTTGCATGCGTGTGCATGTGCGGGTGGCATGTGGTATAGCCTTATTAGCATGGCTCAGAAGGAAAGGAGAAGGTCACGTTGGTGAATGATTCTCAACAGTCAAAATGATTCATAGCGCTATGCATGCTTGGCCCACGATCACTCTAGAGTGATGGGCAGGGCACAGCTGCCATGGGAACTGTTGGACTGATTGCCCAAATCCGCACAGGGGAGGGAAGCTCCCTTCTGCTCCACATTCAAACAGGAATGTAGCATGTGAGCACGCAGTGACTGGATTTCTCTAAGCTGTCTGTGTGAGACAGTCGACAATACTAACGTTTATTGAGCACTTACTGCATGCAGTTTTCCAAGCCCTGGCTACCACTGACTGGATCATTTCTCAGAGAACTGTGATTCTGATAGGAGAGACTTTGAAGACACAACAACAACAAAAAAAGAGAAATCAGTGGCCAAAGCTGACACTGTCAGAAACTGGAGGAAGCAGGTTTCAAACTCGGGCAGCTAGGTTCTAGCACCTGTGATGGAATCATTGCACAAACTGCCTGTGTTTGCGAGTGGTTGGTAACAGTCAGTCTGCACTACAGACCACAGTGGGGTACTGTGGAAACCCTGGAACAGGGGTGTCGAGGAGGCTGGGGCCCCAGAGTCCGGGCGTCCTGCATCAGGTGTGTCCTCAGGGACCCTTCCAGACAGGCTGTGAGGATTTGATTATTCATGTGGAGTGGTGGCCCCAAGTGCAGACACTGAGATCCTGCCCGATCCTCTTGGGGCGAGCTCAGAGGAAAGAGGTCCTTTGCAATCACCATCTAAGGCTGGGCTAAAATAATCTGTGCCACTTGGTGGCCACCCGAGGCCTCACTTCTGTCCATATAAGATGCAGGGGTCTGGCTGGCTGGTGCAATCACTCCTGAGGCCAAGAAGGAATTTCTATATGACAGAAGGGTCTCAGGACGGTAAGCACAGCCTAGTCCTGAGGACAGGGGATGCTGTGTCAGGCTCTTACACGTACTCAAGTCTGAGGGGTGACTTCTGTCTACTTTCTGTACGCATCTACTTTCTTTTTCACAAGAACACAAGGTAGAGGTGTCTCATTTTATAAATGATGAGATTGAGGCAGCGAGAGAGACAGCAACACTGCTAATAAAAGGCAAGGTCCCAGCTAACAGTTATTTTGTCTGAAAGCCTTACTTGATGGCGGAGACTGCCCCGCATGCTTTCCAAACTTCTAGGCATCGAAAGCTCGGAGCTCCCTTCCTTCACAAACGAGGTAGACCAGGGTTAAGTAATTTGTCAAGAAAACACACTTTATAGTTCTGCTCTGCCGTCTGTTTAGTGTTAAGCCCTGATCTTGTTATCATCCGACGTTAGATGGTCTGTGTGTGACTTTCTCTCACGACTCACCCAAGACTGCCAGGACTTTGGTAACTGAAAATAACATTAGTAAGGACAGCATCTATCTTACAGGACAGCCGTGCAGATTCCATGTGGAGCGTTCAGCTTTGGGCCCCACACGTGGTAAACAGCAAGACGAAACAGCTTGGAGAGTCCCTTGAATTTGTCAGGGTTGATGGACGTTAGCATCAGAACTAAGTTTAAGGATTCAGTTTTCCCTTAACAGCAGGCAGGGTTGCCCAGTGTCCTCAGCTTCCCCTGCCTCAGTGTCCTTCCTGTCCTGGGAGGAAGCGGCGTCCCTCCCGCCAGGGCTGCTGGAGATGAAAGGGGCTGGTCTATTTAAAGCCCAGGGCTCTGCGGCCCTGCTCCATTAATGTTTGCATCTATAATTAGGAGAAGTAAGGGGATGGAGTTGGGAGGGACGCCGAGAGCGTTTACTATGGAGCCTTCGTGTGTAACTCAATACGGGTGACTCACAGGGCATGCCCAGGAGTGGGGGCCACAGCCACCGCCAGCAGGCCGGCAGCGGGCAGTGTCCCCCACCGTGCCGGGAGAGGCTGGGCCAGGCCAGGCGGCCCCGGGGTCTAGTGGACACTGACTGCCTGGCCCGGGCAAATCATTTAATCGCTCTAAGCCTCTGATTCTTCATCTGCGTGATTGGGATAAGATCACCGGCCTCATCGAGTTGTCATGAGGATTAAGTGAGATACTGTGCGTAATTCACCTGGCACGGAGCCAGGCCAGTGATCTGCTCCAGAAAAGGTAACTATCAGTGTCATTCAAAGGCATCACGGAGGGCGCAAACAGCCTCCCTGCTTACAGTGTTGTGCAACCCTTTCTGACTAACTCAGGGCCTCTTCTGGTCTCCCCTGTTCTGAGCAGGAGACCATGCTGCATGCGTCCCTGCTGCAAGCTCGGCCTTGTGGTCCCGGGGGCCGGGGAGTTTTAGAGCTGGAAGAGCAGCTGGTAGAGTAGAGCCAGATTATTGAGATGGTTTGAAACTTCGTCTTTAATAAGTTAGCAAAATGAGAGAGAAAGCATTTAGGAACTTGCTCAAGGTCAGAGACCTGAGTTGTAGTCGGAAAGGCCAAAACCTGGAGCTCCTGCGGCCCATGCTTAAAAGCCAGGATGAAGTTAATGTACTACCCGAGGCACTGAGAAAAATCCCATGTAGTGAGATTTTACTTACCAAGGACTCATTCTTCAGATGAACATTTTATCTGTACACAAGCTCCTTTACCAAATATGGAAACAGCTTACTCAGGATGAAACTGAACAAAACCAAACCAAACCAAAATGTAACAACAAGGACTACAAGGTAGTTTTGAAATAACAGGAAATGTACATGCTACTTTTGTCAATGTCAAGAAAAAAATTATGTGCTGTTGAATAAAATGCTGCCTATGGCTTGAAATTATTTTATGAATGCTTCTCCATGGAAAATCTGCACCTTGCATTGTGGCTTTCTTTTCCATTTATAGAAGATGTTATCAACTAGATAAATGGTTGCTCTTATTTTTGAAACCAAGGCTGCTGTGTCCTCTCTTGCATGGTGGCTGCCCTCACACTGCAGAGGGTAGTTTTTGTACTTTTGCTTGACCCAGACTTGCTGTATGGAGCCTGTTTCTTTCCCTACCTTTAATAAAATTTTGCTACTGTTAACTAAATAAAAATCATAACTCAAACATGGAGGATCGAGTAGATAGTACATTATCTAGATAAAGGCATGGAGTCTACTAGGTCATTGCTAAGTCTAGAGCTTGTCTCACTGGAGCGAATCTGTGTTCACATCAGTTATTAATATTTAGGCCACAGACAATCAACTCTTAGGACCCGAGTGCCCCCCAGCCTCACTGGTGGCTGGACGTGGGGGACTCAATGTGGTCAGCTTCTTCCTCACTTTCCTAAGGCGAGATCTCTGGCCCTGGCTTCTTTTATGCTGGCTTTGACTGGACAGTGATGTCTCTGTGTCACAGAGATCACAGACTCAATCACCTTAGTCCTGTATGACTGGAACAAAACTACCCATGGTCAGGAACCCTTACCTTGGCCTATTACAAAAGAGCATGGATATCTACCTGACTTCCGAGTCACC